CAAGATTTTTTTAAAAGTTTCCTCTTTGTAGCATTATTTTAAGCTCGGATCATAAATCTGTTAAGTCTAAAGGATCTGCAGCAAATTCAATGGGTTTATTCGGAAAGAATAAGCACTTGATTAAAGGGCGAGGAATTTCTCAGGGGTTACGGTTTCGCTGCGGTAATTCCAGGTCGGGCTCACGCTCGGCGCTCGTGAAAACAGGCCGAGAACGAGCCGTGCGAGAAACAGAGAAACGGGAGCGTGTAAGTGGAAGGTCCTTCGAGAGGACATACATTTTTCAGGGCGTAAAAACTGAGGGTAAATTCTCAAGGACACCTTTCTTGCAAGTCTTGAAAACTCTCTACTGTTGAATTTTCAGAAACTGTAATGAGAACAATTAAAATATAACAAAATGTTTCCTTGGCAAAATGAGGCGGGGAAAAGAATGAATTTTTAAAGAAGATTAAAGAACATTCAGTCATGACTCATCTCTTTAGGAATAAACCTGTTTATTTAAAACACTTATATTTCTGTAGCTTATAGATCTGGCATGGGTATTTCTGGTATTTTTACCCTGAGGAATTATTCTGACAGTACACTTAAATTTTCCAGATGTTTTATCTGTCATCCTATCAAAGCAACAAAACCATGCTGGAAATATACAATGTGATAGCAATGACGGGTGGCAATCTACCCTACAGTGAGTCAGAAGCAGCCCTGACAAAAATTCTGTGTATTGAACAGCGACGCATGAACAGCGCCCGCTTGGCCCACCGCGTTCAGTACCTTCGGCTTTGTTTGTGCTGCGGATCAGTTCCGAAGGCCTCTCACCAACTACATGCCTGTTTGAAGAAGTTACTGCAAGATGCTGGGAGTGTGAACAGGACTCACTTTTTGAGGCAAACATTCTGATTTTTTAAAAATTGTGGAAATAGTAGGGGCAAACATAGGTAATGCGTGGGGGAGAGAAAAGCATCTGATATTAAGGTAATCATACAAAAAATATATTAAAAAAAATATCACATATGCCATTTCTTTTTTTAAGTCTTTGCCAGCATATATACAGGCAGGCAGTAAGCCAAAATAAATTAATTAAAATGTCCTCCAAATTTATGTCAGTGGAGATCCCAAATTATAACTCTGTTACATTCCTAAGGAATCCTTCAGATATGTCTAGAATCAAATACACTATCACTGATAAATGATTCGCTCTTCAGAGGTAAAAAGAAATAGAGTCACGATGTCCTTTGTTTTGACGGAAAACCTTGAAAACTTCCATTTTCATTTCATTCACTGCCAGCACTGTTTGATGTAAAAAAGACTCACAGTCAAAGTGCAGGAGGAAACGCACAGACACTCACACGCGTGCAAATATCTGAGGAGCAACATTTAGGCCTCTCGGTGCTACTTGGGGCACTTTAAGACAACCGACCGAATAATAAGATTTTGTGCAGGTCCATGAAAAACCCATTTCTTTGGTCCCAATCAGCACCTGAGTGGTCATTTGTCTCATGAGCATTTTCGTTATTATCTGAAATACCACTTTATTTAAACTCTGTCTGCAGAGCCAGGAAATGAACGTTTGTCCCTGGGTAGCTCTCAGTCTTACGTCAAGACAGAAGGAAAATACAGGAAATCAGCTCTATCTATTCTGATGTCAAGTTTTACTATTATAATTTTGAATGGGCCAATTTTCTTTGTTTTCTCTTCTGGTAACAGTGTGTAGTTACATGAAGAGTCATTATTTATTTATGTCGGTCGAATCAGTTGCTCATCTCACTATACCAGACGTGTCTCAGAATATTCTGCATACTTCAGTTCTTTTCAAATCTTGTTTCTCTTATGATTTGATATCATCCTCTATTTCTCTATTTCCCCTGAACATACTGGTTTTATAGCTATTGAAATCTTTTCTATCAGTTATTTATTTTCCTGGCACCCTCTTTAATGACCAGGAAGGATTCGTGGGAGTTGCACATGCTTCAACAGCTTCCTTGAGAATGAGGTAATTTTATGAATTCCCTCAGCAGGTTAGAGGCACATTTTCTCTACTAGACTGAAGCACTCTGAAGGCAAGAATCAAACTGGATGCCCAAGGCCTTATATATAGGCATTAAATATTTACTAGAAAGCAAATAAGCTGAAAAAGGAAGGAAATAGATTTTTAAAAATCTCATTTTATGTTAATAAAAAATAAAAAAGTATAAATGGTAGTGGCTGTCACTTACTGGTTTTATTTCCTATCTGCTTTTGGTCAGTATTACAGACAGTCAGGAGGATACATGTACAGATTTTGGAGCTGATGGAACACTGGTTTTACTTGTCTTCACTGCAGACTAATCAATATAAGTACAATGACCCAACTAAGGGGCCATGGCAGGTCCATTTCATTTTACAAATTTAAAAACAACCTAAGTTTAAACAATTAAAAATAATAAGCATTTTTTCTTTTTAATAAAGCAATTCCTTGGTTTGGTATGCTATAGACTATTTACCTATTCGCAGTCACACAGAATTGACCATGTGGAAATAAGGGAGCCTATGACGTATACAGGTAGACACTCACATGCACAAAAACGACGTTCATTTCCTTTACACGTTCCTGAGGGTGACAGGTGAGCACACTGTCCAACAGTGCAACTTTTCCTGAATCAGAAGCACCTGTGGACATACCCTGGCGCGAGCAGTCTGGGAAGAGGCTGTGACTCCTGGAATAACACCCCAGCAGGGCGGAAGTGAATGCCACGGGACGGGGAGGAGGGAACGGAGGGAGCAAAACCAGAGCATCTGAACGGAAGACTCTGGCACATCAACCCGGGGCCCGCTTCTCTAGAGACTGTTTCCCAGGCAACAGTAAGAAATAATGAAGTAAATAAACCATCTTTGCCTTTTCCCAGTTCCAAAAGAGACTGTATATCATGTGGGATAGTACTTGGAAACTAGCACCCACCCACCATCTGCATGTGGCTCCGAAGACGCATCGGTTCCAGTATTGATTCAAAGGGCCTGGGTGCCTTGGCTGATACCAAGATTCCAGCTGTGCCTAGTGAAAAACACAACTGCTGCGGCGCACAGGTGGGCTTAAGAGTTTCCTGGGCTCAGATACAGCAAGGTGATGTCCACCCGGGGATTTTTATTCCTGCTCATACTCTAGACGGATCCCACAAGGAGATGCGTCAGTGACTGACCGAGTTTGCCGACAAAGGGAACCCCAAGTAGACTCAGCAGAGTCATTTTCTTCTGCTGGCATCTGAAACAAACAGCAGCACTGGTGTGATTTCCCTACAGAGAGCCCCGTCAGAGGTGGCAGGAGTTGTTTGGGTTTCACCCTCCCTAAATGACTTGCAAATTTATTCAAACGCAATACTGGGAGATGCTTTATTTGTTGAAATGACTGTCTGCGGTGCCCTGCACAGAAGGGTGAAGTACATCAAGCAGAAACATGGACAGAAATACATGGTTTAGAAACTCATAAATCCTTATTTGAATCTGCCAACCTGAAAGCCACGTACGGCCTGAATAAACTATTTTTCCTAAATGCTACATCTGATTAAGCCATACCATTCAATGACAGCTGAACTTTCACATTAATATGATATTATTTAAATAACCACATGATTTTTTTTGCACTAAAAATGATGAATGATTTCTAGACAGCTCAATTGACATAAAGCAGGGGGACTCTTTAATGAGATTTGACGAAATGGAGACATATGCAGAATACGCATTACAGCTCGCATCGGGGGCCTCCCAGGGAAGCCATGGAGGGTGGCTTCCTTTTTTCTTTCTTATTGTCTATAGGCACTGAAGCATTCCTTTCAGTCACCGCTTCTCCATGGGTTTTGAGTTTTCTAGGTCACTGACATCTTACTCTTAATCAGAGAATTGGGTGGTTTATGGTTCTGAATCTGGACGGTGCATTTAGGAGAAGGAGAGGCGTGTGGAGTTAGGTCAACGTTGGTTGAAAATGTCCCAGAGCTTTTGACTTTGCTACTGATCAGCCTGATAGGAAATCACATCGGCCTTGGAGACTCAGCAACCACAGCTTTGATTGGTTCTTATGTGACTGATCTCTTAACACAGCAAACATACTTCTAACAAGTTATTATATATGGACTCATGATCAGAGAAGACTTTACTTATTTTCAAATAGTTGTCTCTATAGTATCAATGAGAAAAACTATTCTCTTCTTTATAAATCCAATTAAGCTATTCTAGAGGCGATTCTCAACATCTCCCACTCACATTTCTACCCACGCTTCTAAATTGAAGGTTATGCTAGATAATACTCGTATTTGGTAGAGTCTGAATGTAAAATAATTACATGCTGAATACACCTAAGAAAAAAATGACTCCAATTTTCATACCAATGAAAGCAATTCCTACTCCCCTCAGAAAATGCAGAATATAGAAAATTACCTGCACTCATTATTTTCAAGCTCTCTCGAATATTCTCCATCAAAGGTTAATTACACATATAAAACATTAACATTTGTTTGCTCGCACATGTGAATTCAGATTATTCGGGTATTCTTTAAATTTTAAAAACCATCTTGAAGTATACATAAAATTGAGATGTTTCCCCAAACAGCATCGCTTAAAAAAGAAATGAAAACAAAGGCAAGGGAGTGCAGAGCTAATACCGGGGGTGCTCCCGATACCGCAGGCCTGCATTCCCTCTCAGAAAGAGACTACCGAAATAGAAAATAAAATCACTCAGCTCCTGCCATGGGGCCTTCCTCAGGCTATGAAAAAATACTTCATGTCTAACCCTAATTTTTTCCCATAGCTTGAGGTAACCCCTCTAGCTCAAACCTTCTCTCTAATCTAAGGTGCTCAGTGTGTGTCCCTGTCCAAAAAAAGAGTTAATATCAGTGCTCCGGCATTTCAAAAGGGTCCTGACACAGGGTACTAAGAACAGAAGCTTGCATGCTTGAAAAATGCCCAGTTGCAACGAGATGAGAAACACAGTTAAAAAAAAGGAGAGAGAGGAAGATGGGTCCCTACCTTGCTCTTACCTTCGCAACATCCCCGTCAGGACCCTGGAGCTTTTCCCCAAATTGGCATCTGTTTCCCGAAGCTGGGAGAAGAAGACCAGCATTAAAACAAAAGACCAGCATCAGGCAACAAGGTTATTTTCAAAGTGCAGTGGCAAACAATCATTTTTTTTCATGATAGAAAATCCAATTCATAAAAAATGCACTGAAATACATTTTTGACACCTATACAATCTCTGGAATTTCTCAGATGTAGAAAAGTACATGTGATGGATAATCCCAGGAGCTTTAAGCTGGATACCTGAACTGGATATAAAAGCAAATGTCTCAAAGGCTGACAAAGTTTGATATGTGTCGGTAATTAATAATTTTTCCAATCTGTGAATGTGCAAAGTTCTAGGAATATAAATGGAAGCAAAATGAATTGAGGGAAGATAAGATCAATATTTTTAGATTTTGCTCTGAAAAATCTAACATAATCTCCCTCAATGACCTTCTTTTCAGCGACAGAGCTGAATAAATATCAAGGTGGGGACATTTCAGGATGGAGATGTAAAGAGTCCGCTTATACTTTCTCCATCCACACTCACTTGTTTCCTCTCCCCAGGCCTTACACCCGCCCCCCCGCCACCCCCCACCATTGTCACGTATAGTTACATCTATGCGATTGGGACTGTCTACCCAGGTGCCAAAGACCCTTGACTTTATGCCTTATTTACCGAGTTTGTGAAAAGACTGTACCACTTCCACTTACTCTTTCACGTGCTCTCTGTATCTTTTCTCTGTCATGGCTGAGGTTTTCCAACATCTCCTGGCCGATTTGCTCTATGAAAAAGAAAGTCTGAGTAAGGAGAGGTGGCTTTAGGTGTAAGTGAGAATACCTTTCAGCAGGAAGTACCAAAATGTTAAATAAGTGTATATTACATATCAGACACACATTTCAATTCACGTCCTTGAAAAACATTTTAAAAGTACTTGAGGAATTTACCTATCTATCTTATGTATGATGAGATGTGATTTAACATTCAGCCTATAGCCCAGCCCGCGTGGCTCAGTGGTTGAGCATCGACCTATGAACCAGGAGGTCCCGGTTCGATTCCTGGTTGGGGCACGTGCCCCGGTTGTGGTTCGATCCCCAGTAGGGGGCGTGCGAGAGGCAGCCGATTGGTGACTCTCATCACTGATGTTTCTCTCTCTCTCCCCCTCTCCCTTCCTCTCTTTGAAATAATAATAAATAAATAAATAAGTAAGTAAGTAAATAAATAAATAAAATTCAACCTACAGGACATGACCACCACAGCAATGCCGGTTTAGAGGTGATAGGACTTGCCCAAGGCCACCTCAACATATTATTTGCCAAGATGGAGAGTCCAGGTCCAGTGGCTCTCTGTTACATTGTGACATTCATCCTTTGGTTTTCACAGGCTGTAGATAATGCTAATGATTCTACTCTACCTTTCCTACTTCATTATTGCTCTGGTTTGCATACGCGAGTGAAACTCCATTTAGAACAATGTTGATTGTAACGTATTTACCCCACATAAACAGTCCTCATACGCTCAATTACTGCAGCTTCTTGGTAGTAGAACTGCCCCCAGGCTTCTGCTCTCTTGAAGTTTAGTGTGTTTTTAGCGACTTCGGATATCTGGGTCAGGACGAGGCGCACTTGTTAATAAGGAGTTGAGGAGAGCCGAAGCTGGAGGCAGAAGTTCCAAACTATGTATATGGCAGAGGCAGGTAGGAACATTCATTAAAAGCCACACTGCTGAGTTCCGATGAGGTTCTCCCCTGCTGCGATCATCCCATTTGGTTGGCAGTGGTCGGCTCTTCTCTGACTGCAGCATCTTTTACAAGACCCGACATGGATTCCGCTGCCTTGATACATTTTTTCAGACTCATTCCCCATTGCCTGGGAGGTGCCTTATCTATCACAGAGGAGTGATGATCTGCCTCTCTCCTCATTCCGGCAGCTTGTCTGACTTTTCTTTTCCTCTTGTATCGTCTCTTTATCCGTAACCTGTAACAGCAATCCTCTCTGGCTAATAAACTTACAGAAACATTAGAAAGCATCTACTATAACAACAGCAAATCATTCAATAAAGTCATTAAGGAATCACCACGGTCGTTCTTTGATTCGTGTGTGAATGCTGACATGCATTTCGGAGGGACATCCTGAAAGCTGCAGGGTGGCGGGTAGGCCGTGCGGAGAGCTCCGGCTGTGACCTCCCGCCGCTGGAGCCCAACCCCTAGCGCTGAGGCTGGCTGGGCTGCCCTGTGCTCCTTCATCTCCAAGACGGGGATGAACACAGGCTCGATCACGCGGCTGCTGGAAGGGTTAAGTGAGGCGATCCAGTTAGAGTGTTTAGCACAGTGACTGGGCTATAACAATAACCATTCACTGAATCATAACTGATATTTAAAAACACACCAATGGACTATTATGACCTTGCCCCCCTATCCTGGGTGTGCCATAACCCACTTGAACTGCAATTTTACTCATTGATTAAAACATCTGTCCTATCTTTCTCACAGAATTGTTGTTATAGCCAAATAAAATAATCTACGTGAAAATGCTTTGAAAGCTAGAGGGTACCATATAAATACATGTAACCGTATAGTCATGAAATCAGTGCACTCAGTGAGTAATCACTGAGCCCAGAACTCTGTGTGAGATGCAGACGCTGGGGACACGGCCAGTAAAGGAGACCAGGCCCTTGCACTGAGGGGCCTTCTGTGCTGGTAGTGGAGCTTTAGCAGTTCAAGGGCAAATGTTACATTAGAGTTTGTATTTCAGGGCACATCAGAAAAAGGAATGTACTGTGTGTTCCTTTCAGGATAGAAGCTCCAAATACTAAAAAGGGTTAAGTACAATAACATAAATATATTTTTGATACCTATAAAACTCTGAAAATTCTTTCCAGTGTAGTGCTTTCCCATTATAGCATCTCCTCTCAGACTGACATTAGCTTTTTATTATTACCTCCATGTGATTTGTCCTTAAGGTAAAATTGGAGAAGATATGTGGTTCCCAGGGGAGGCATCACAAAAGTTGGAAGATGATACTGACAGTTGAAAAGGAGGAAACAAGTAGGGTTGAATTTTTTCTTTTTTTCTTTTGCATAATAGCTGTAATATTGAATTTTGTCATTCTATCAAGTGCTACCGTTACACTGAATTCCTTTAATTGACATAATGTAGCAATTTTAATTTATAACTTAAAATCCCTAATATTGATGAACACCATCAATACTGGAATTATTTCAGCAAAATACTATTTATATAATACTTTCTCCTTTCAAGATTGATGGTATTATATATGTAATTTCAAATGAATAGGAGGGAGATTATTACTGCTACTTTATTACTATTTTTACCACTGTGTCTGTCACCAGCGTAATGTTCCCAATAAGTATTTATGGAAGAAATAAAGCAATGAGAAAACGGAAGAAGGTGAAAAATGGAGCATATGAAAGGTTTGTGATCCGTTCCTGCCCTCAGAGCATATCCAGTGCGGCACTGGAGACGCCCACGTTGAAAGGCAGGGAACAGATCCACAATGCTATCAGGTCCGCGGAAAAACTCTAGTCTGACGGATCTATAGTCTGCCACTGAAGGAATCAATGGAACAAGAGGCAACGGGCTCAGGCCTTTGCAGGAGCCATAAATCCCTCCCTCACTCTCTTGGCCTCCTGGGAAATACCTCCGCATCCTAAGTATTAACCCTGTCTGGCAAGAGGAGAGATACTGGCAAGGGTGCACATGTCCTGGTCTTCACACACAAACATACATTTGTTGCAAACAATTATTTCTTCATTTCTTACTGGCTACCTTCAATTGTAATACAACAACAACGAAAGTTCCCGGCCAAACGTATTAGAGGCGCTCACTCTTGCAGAGTGAAAGCAAAATTTCATGCAGAGACAGTTATGTAAGTTTTTCCCCCCCACTATGTGTTCCCTCACCCCAATCAAACCAAATAGAACACGCAACTTAGAGGGGAATCTTTTAAAAAATAGATTGTCCTTGGTCAGAATAGTATTAGACGCTTAGGGATTATTTTATTTAAAAATTAGTAACATTGTTAGGTTTACTTTTCTTGAATAATTTAACTTCAGATGCAACCACTCACCAAAATACCAGCAAAGAACACAAGCTCGCAGGCCTACCCCAATGCAGACGTGATACCGAGTCCAGAGTTTCCAGTTTCAGACTTTCAAAGGGCCTATAGAATGGGAATAGCCGTGCTCCCGTTATTGAAATAGTTTGAGAAATTAAAAGTTTTATAAACACTTCCCTTGTTGACTGTGTGAGGATCTTCCTGAGGGGCAGAAACAATGGGAAGCGTAAGGGAAAATCCAAACTGATGCCACCGGCTGGAATTCTCCGCGTCAGTATGAGCCTGATGAATGAATTCCTGGGAAGAGAAGTTCCTTCCTGCACTTCTGTCCTTTCCACAGGGGTCCCGGGAGTCATCCTGGGAGCTTGGCATTCCAATTCTAAAGTAAGCTTTTGTTTTCACAGTTACCCAGAATGAATCATATCCTTGATCCATGGCCCTTTTTATTGGGTGACAGGCTGCAAAGTGGGTTTTGGCTAACGTTTCCTCTCTTTTTCAGTATGCTAGGGGGAGGGGAGAGTATACAGTAGGCATTCAGCACTTTCCTGCCCCATAATGGAACGAATCAGGGATCCGCCAATTGAGCAGGGTGCTTCCTGAAGGACTGGCCTGGCATCACTAAAGATAAGACTTTGGTCATGGAGCTTGTATCACTGGAAGAAGCATCACTGCTTTCCATTCATAAAACAGTAATGCTACCTGGGCCCCCGTAAGACTGACCTGAGTGAACGTAAAAACATTACTGAACTCGTATTTTGGAGATGAGCAGGCTAAAATATTCTCTATGAGAGGGCAGAATTGACTGACGCCCATATCATGTTATAGTAACATGGCTGAAGGGGAGAAAGCCTCAAATATAATTCACCAGAAAATGTTCCCTTTGCTCAATTCAAAATATTCAAGAAATGATTTTAGCCACTGAGCTGTAAGCAGTACACGGACCAGAAATTAATGATCATGCCTCAGCACACTTATGTTTAACTTTCTTTGTACAAAATTTATCAAGGATGTGGTTTCTAATAAATTCATTTTAAAAGTAAAAACAGCCCGTTGAGTCTTCTTTTAAGGACTAAGAGAAGGGAGGTTATTTTCTGGCTCTCAAAAACATCATTAGCAATTTTAGAACCAGGTCAAAGGCGTTTGAAAATATGCAGCTATTGTCGGCACGCAGGGACGTCTATGGAGTGCCGGAGTACAAGGAAATACTGTGAAAGAACTTTTTATTTTGAAGCACGTGGTTTTATATGTATGTTGCAGAATACCAACCAGACAGATGGAAAACACAGTGATATTTCCTAACGATCTGGAGTGCTGAGTTTTAGACATGGCTTGGGAACTTCTGGCCACTGAGTCCAATAAAAGGACAAACGTACTGCTTTGGGAAAGCAGAGGAGTCATGCCCAGCTCTCCCGGGGGGCTGCTCACGGAGTGGCTGGGCCAGCCACACGGACTCTGGGACCATGACCGGGGTGGGTCGTTTCCCTCAGTGTGGGTGTTACTCAGACAGGAGGAGCCTTTTTTGGAAAAGGCAGTTCTTTCACCGTTTTTTATTATTTGACGATTCAAGACAAGTGGGGAACTTCTGCCTATAGATAGGAGGTAGAAAGATCCCAATGACCACTCTCATAAAAACAAACCCAGACGAAATAATTACCATTCTTGTCTTGGGAAGTCCAATGTAGGCACAGAAGCTCTGGAGAGAAGGAAA